GGATCAGTGTTCATCACTGTGGCGCAGTCAGCTAAATGCAAAGTTGCTGCCTCTGGCGTAACGTTTTTCATTTCGATGGTTCGATGCGCGATGACCATTCTTTTAATCTAAGCATTTCTTCTCCTTTTTTCTTCCTTGATATATATTTTTTTAGTAACAGCTATGCTGTTCTGTTATTTTTTCACAGGCGTTCCAATGCTGTGCGAGTTGGAAATCTGGGTACTAGAACTTTTGATGAGATTTGCCCAGCCGAGATTTGCGGATATTTTTACAAGAAAGTATCAGCCTGTCACTTGCAATTTAGTGAATACTTTAAAATTAAGTGTTATCATACCTGCAGAGGTCTTTATTCGTTTGTTTTACCCCTTTCTTCACCAAAGAAAACCCGAACTGACGCAATTCAAACTTTGTTTACCGGGTGGATGTGCGTGCCGCATTCCCCACCCATGGCCCGACCGGTGAATTAGGCAGCAGTCACGCAACATTCCTCCGCGTTCACCTAGTGTAATAAAAGCAGATCTACTGAATCCATACTGTCTTTGCGTTAGGTATAATAACGTTCCCAGGCAGATAAGCGCTCTGCTCTTCTAAAATAATAGCGATTCCTGCCAAAGCAAAGGGAGCAGCCCTCTCTTTCTTTTGCTCACTAACTGGGGAGTGTGATAAGCAGGAAACAAAAAAACCAAGAAAAAAACAAACATTGTGTTTAATCAACTACCACCACTCATTTTTTGGAAACCGAACTTCTTCTAGGAAGGTCTCAAGAGAAACTTAGGGCTGGACTGGTGAGTCCAAGTCTGACTTAACGTGGAAAGGATGAGGTTCTTAATATCTTTACTGAAAATATGTTTATAAGGTGCATTCTTCCGGCAAATTGACTGAAGTCATGGAGTAGCTGGCGCCTGCTTTCTCTTGTCATGGAAGTGGGAATGAATTTTAAACCACGGGATAGTAAGGTAATTTGCTTGTCTGTCAGCTGTGAATTTGACAGGTTTTTGATACACCGGTTGCGTGACTTAATGTTGTTTAGAAAGCGCTTTTTTCTTGACTAAATTATTTAATATATTAATTAAAAAAACTAATAAATTGAAATAAAGAATATAATACATTATTTTATTTGGCCATGCATCAATTTCATTAATGTTCTTCGTCGGAATGTTCCTGGCATTTCGAGCCGGACGCTTTGTCTGTGCATTTTACTGCAAGAGTAAAAGCACAAGAAGCTTAACCGTTAGCGCAGCTAATCCATGGTGTAGATCTAGATAAAACAGAAAAAAATGCACTGTTTCTTAGACTAGAGCGTGCGAAACGGTAGCAGGCGCGAAAATCACCCCATGCGAGAAAGGGGAGACGCGGCTGCGGGGACTACTCATAGTCTACACTGTTTTCCTTCGTTATGGATGGCACACTCCAAAAAGCTAAAAAATTCTCACATTTTGATATACCCTACAACTCTTAAGAAACTGAGCGGAGCCGGACCCACTTAACCAGACCCTGAGATATGGGGAGGGGCTGTGTCAAAAAAACAATTTTTCAACCTTTTCGCGGTTGGTTACCATCTACATGGGCAAACGGGTCGGTCCAAGGTTTAGGCAAATGGTATGCAAAATTCACAACTGGTGAATTTCGTCCCAGTATCGCGTTTCCCATTTGTACAAATTAGTTCCATTTACCGGAAGGCTTGAAACTAGTATCAAAGATGGCTTTGAAGAAATGGAACACAAATTTCCGCGTAGAATATTCCATCCCGAAAAACAGGACTACCTTTTCAGATGTTCCGTTGCTTCCGGTAATTTTCCGCTGGAACGACCAAAAAAGGCATGTTCCATTTACTCTCCAACCGGGTTCCAGTTCAGTTCCTCTACAAGCAAAATGTCGTCAAAAACAGTTTTTTTAGCCCCGATTTTCTCAAATTAATAGCTTTAATGTTTCAGGATAAAAAATACGCGGAACGTAAATACACTCTTTCTATTTTATAAGATTATATTTCATAAGAATATGGAAGCTTAAATTTGCGAAACTTTAAGAATATTTTAAGAATAAACCTGAGGCTGAAATTGTAAAAAGAATATAATGAAAATGCGTATATACAATACAATAATATGTTTTTACCTATAGTTAAATATTCAATTCATTTTTCTGTACGAAATTCATCATATAAGTTACGCGGCTTTAATTTTCGATTTGTTATTTTGACCTTGGTTGTTCCTCTAGAAAATGGAGAATGAAGATCAGACTGGCCTAAAAAAATGTAGGGCAAATGAAGAATGAANAATATGTTTTTACCTATAGTTAAATATTCAATTCATTTTTCTGTACGAAATTCATCATATAAGTTACGCGGCTTTAATTTTCGATTTGTTATTTTGACCTTGGTTGTTCCTCTAGAAAATGGAGAATGAAGATCAGACTGGCCTAAAAAAATGTAGGGCAAATGAAGAATGAAAGACTACTTTCTTGTTGTTTTATAATATTTATTGCGCGACTTAGCTGCTCAAATACTCTCGCTTACAGATTTTCGAGCTAAAGAGAGACTGCTCGCAATCTAATACAAATTGGTGTCTTTTCATATTAGTGAAAGATAGCAATCACCTAGTGTTTCCCGGTATCGTCTCACGATGCGAACAACTTTTTAAAATCGCTTAGACCCTCCCCCTTTATACTTTCAAAAGAACAAGAAACAGAGCATATATATTCAATGTCAGTAGCTTTTCCTTTCAGAGTTTACGGTGAATGAGTTTTTCAACTCGTTCGGTTTCCAAAAAATGTGTGTGCAGTTGAGGGATGGACACACGAACGCAACCCCTTTTCTTTTCCTTTTTTATTTTTTTTCTTTGTTTTTTTTGTTTTTGCGATGACCTTCAACTTCATTGCCAGGATATAACGGACACCACGCCTTACTCATGTGGGAGACGAAAATTCTCTTTGGCTTGTTCACATGCGCAAAGGCCACTGCGGAATCTTTAGTCTTTACTCTTAAGGCTTATTCAACAAGTTCCTCTACAAATAATATGTTGTCAAAAACATTTTTTTAGCCCCGATTTACTCAAATTAATAGGCTTAATGTTTAACAAAAAATACGCGGAACGTAAATACTCTCTTTCTTTTTTATGAGAATATATTTTATAAGTATATCGAGGCTTAAATTTGCGAAATTTTAAGAATAAACCTGAGGCTGAAATTGTGAAAAGAATATAATTTAATAAAAGCACAGCGTCGGTTGTGCGATTCGCCTTTTCAAAAAATGTAACTGAACTCAAAGTGTAAGAAAAGGAATCAGAAATAGAGTAGACTGCAAAAGAGTCAGTTTTCAAAATACCGTTGTAATCCTTTTGCGCGAAGCTTGCGTGCCTCTTACGTAGTGCGTGTACAGGTATGTGAGGCGAGAGTATTTTCATCGTAATGTAGTGATAGCGATCGGCACACGATTGACCGAAAAACTAACCTTGTCATTTTTACTTATCATTCAGACGGGATATTGGACAGATTTCAACTTGAACTCCAACTTATGACCCCATAAAAATGATGAAAGGCCTGTGTACAGACACCCCCTCCCCTCAGAAGGTGCTATGGGAGAAGGCTATGAAAACCGGTGTGGATTCTCGCCTGTGCTCCATCATTTTGGCCTTTTCTTTCTCGAAAGCGAAGATAAAATCTACGCTTGCCTTTTTAAGACAATAATAGAAGAAATCGAGCCACGGAATTGTCACGTGGATATATGTACCAAAGTGAGTGAAAGAGAGGGAGTCCCTATTATTTTCGAAGAGCAAAGGGCTTATCTGCCTTGGAACGTTATTATACCTAACGCAAAGACAGTATGGATTCAGTAGATCCGCTTTTATTACACTAGGTGAAGGCAGAGGAACATTGCGTGACTGCTGCCTAATTCACCGGTCGGGCCATGGGTGGGGAATGCCGCAAGTGTCAAATCTATTGGAAGCAAGTATACTTGGAGAGCTTTATAAATATGAGCTTACAGCTCTACAATCATAACTGAATAAACATTCACAGTTCATAACATTTCACTTTGTTTATTACGATCAGTCAACACGTGCACCTTGAATCCAAAGTTAAAATTCAAAACGATCCTAATAAACAAATCGCAACTACTACTAAAAGCTCTGTACCTTGAAGCGACTTTAACTTTCCTAAGGTTTGCAGCAAAATACTGCTCGATAGCTCAACTCTTCGGCGGTTCTTATCAGGTCTGTACGGAGCTACATATGTTGCATATTCCAAACTCTGCGGAGGGAAATTGTTTAGGAAATTGGTGTAGGTAATGGATAAGCGCAAGATTGCGTTAATTTATTTTATTCCTCCATTCACCCCCCAAAAGTTAAGCCCAATGAGTTTTTTAGTATCCACCCGTGTCTGAAATATTCATCAATATAATGTTTTTAATAATGCTCTTCCTAGTTTTTCTTAATTTTCACGTTCCCGTCTCAGTTATTTCCGGTATCAAAAATGTGATTTTCCTGAGACCGTTTAGCACTACCAATTTAACACAAATAGAACACTGCGAAGAAAATTGAAAACCATACCCTGTGGAAGATTGCATGGTGTTATTAGATTGTATTTTCCTTGTGGGTTAATCGGCGCTTACTATTTCCTTTAAGTTACCTTGTCGGAAACTCGATAATAGCATAGGGTTTTTAATGTTTATTTTGTCACGAACTGCCAATCTTTGAAGGCGTTTATTTTTATCTGAATGGCAAAGATCACGTTATTCCACGTGTTATTGTGAAATAGAGTACGTTTGTTATTTTTCTGTCAGCAATATCGTTTTAGCCAATCAGCTTATGTTTATTCAAGGTGTGCCATAGATTAGGGTTCGCTCGATTGATGCCAGTGAGAGGTGGATTATTTTTGTAGGAGAAAAGAAAAAACTGTGATTAAAAAACCTGAAAGTGAAGACTGAGGACGTTGTGGGCCTTCTTAACCTATTCCCCACACAAGTGGCACCTCCGACGGGACTATCAAGAATCTAAACCGTGACTAAAATGGAGGAAAGGCAAAAGGAACTCGAGACAGAATTGCAACTACTAGCACTTAATCGCTCCAAGGCTGCTGCAATCGTTGACAAGGGCAACCTCGACAAAATCCTTCCTCACAAGGAAATTTTGAAGAAAATCGTGAATGCCATCGAAGATCTCAAGGTAGACATCGAAAAAGCCAAGCTTGAGGCTGGAGAAATCGTCGAGAATGTGCAGAAATGGGGAGCAACAATAGAACAACGCACCGACGAAGCAGATTTGGAGATATCTGATTTAACTTGCAGTCTTGAAGAAGCTGCGACGAGAGCAGAGGACTACAAGCGTGAGAAGGAGAAAACTTTGCTCGATCGGCAACGAGAGGAAGAACTAGAGTTTGAAAAACTAAAACTTGAGCAAAAGGCGAAAATTCAACAAACAGAGCAAGCCGCCGCAAAGCCAGCCAGCAAAAGCAACGTGAAAATGCCAAAACTAATCATCACAAAATACGACGGCACCTATGAGAAGTGGCTCTCGTTTTGGAACAAGTTTAAGCTGAAATTGATTCATCTGATCTGCCAGCGGTCACAAAATTCGCTCATCTGAAAGAATTGCTGGAAAGTAATGTTTGTGAATCAATCGACGGCCTTCCCTTTACTTCTGCAGGCTACCAGCGCGCTAAGAATATTCTGACTTCAAATTACGGCAAGATAAGCGAGATTGTAAGGGCATACATCGACAACTTGAATGGCTTGCCAGTGATAACAGGGTCACAGCCAAGCAAAATCCATAAATTTTGCCAGACTTTGAACTACAATGTTCAATCTCTTGAGACGCTGGGTAAACTTTCGTCTTGTTTTTCTATGGTGCGTGGTGTGCTTGATAAGCTGCCGGGAATCAAAGCCGAACTCGTGAGTGGAAAAGTAGAATGGCAAGACTGGGGATTCACGGAACTAATACGAGCTCTAGAAGAATGGAAGGCAATTCAACCACTGGAATTAGCTGAGAAAGCTAGCGGAAAACCTCAGGCCCTGCCGCCGCCTCGTCCGCCTCGCCACAGAAGTTTCTACGCGCAAGAACGCGAACCAGCCCGCGCGCGACACGCGTGTTTATTGTGATTGCGTGACACACAGATCTTGGGAGTGCGATAAAATCACGTCGCCTGCCGAACGCCATCAAATTTTGCAGAATAAACGGTTGTGTTTTAACTGCACTGGGCCCAAACACAGCGCAAACAACTGCTCTAGTAGAGCTTCCTGTGTACACTGCAAGCAAAAGCACCACTCGTCTATCTGTGACAGACAAGTAAGAGCAAGTCAGCCTAGAAATAATGCTGGAGTCGCATTGACAGCAACACAAGACGGGGAGAAGGTTTGCCATCCTATAGTTCTTGTCAAAGTAAATGGCGTAACCTGTAGAGCCCTACTGGATACCGGCGCAACCGTTTCTTACGCCTCTGGATACCTCTTAGATAGGCTGAAGCTGAGACCAACACGCACGCACACACGCCGTATTCAAACCATCGTGGGAGTGGTTACAAAACGAAGCGAGATCTTCAACGTCCAAGCGAGCGACACGGAAGAAAAGTATGCCATTCCACTGAGCGTGACGAGAATTGACCGTGTCGAATTGCTGTCCGTTGAAAACCCAAATTATGCGGTAATGATAAGCAAGTACCCACATCTGAAGGGAGTGTACATGGAGGATACAGACTTGAAGATGCTTCCTGTCCATGTTATTCTTGGAGCAAGTGACTATGCGCGAATAAAGACCTGCGAATCCCAGCGAACTGGAGCTATGGGTGAACCAGTGGCCGAATATACTCGCTTTGGGTGCACCATCATGTCACCAGGGACGGAGACAGACCTAGACAGCATGTTCCTAGCGCAAACGGCCTCAAACGATTATGAAGAGCTGTATAGAATGGACGTCCTTGGACTTGAACACGCACCTAGTGGTGACCAAAGCGTTGTCTACGCAGAGTTTCGTGAACAGCTTAGACGCAGTCCTGATGGGTGGTACGAAGCACGCCTTCCTTGGAAAGGAGACCACCCTCCCCTACCTTCGAATGAATCTGGGAGCTTGAAACACCTGGGAAGTCTAGTACAATGTCTAAAGAAAACAGGTCGTCTGGACGAATACGATGCGATAATCCAGGACCAACTGCGCGAAGGAATTGTGGAAGAGGCAGACATGCCAGCCAGTGGGAAAGAATTTTACATACCCCACAAAGCTGTGGTGAGGGAGAATGTAGAGTCGACCAAGATGCGGGTAGTCTACGATGCCTCAGCCAAAGCCCATAGCTCCGCGCCCTCACTAAATGACTGCTTGGAGGTTGGACCGCCGCTCCAAAATAAACTTTGGAAGGTTCTAGTGCGGGGAAGATTCCATCCTGTGGCTCTCGCTGGTGATATCCGCAAAGCCTTTCTCCAAGTGAGAATTCATGTACAAGACCGAGATGCTCTTCGGTTCCATTGGTTAGAAGCTAAAGATCCACAGCGAATTCGGACTTACAGATTCACTAGAGCACTCTTTGGCTTGGGACCCTCGCCTTTCCTGCTAGGAGGTGTGATCCAACAGCATCTGAACACTTGCCGAGATGAACATCCCAAGTGCGTGGAAGAGATTGAGCGTGAGCTGTATGTGGATGACATATTATCTGGTGGACCTACTACCGAAGAAGTGAAACAGAAGAAAGCCACAACAACTGAGATATTTGCCCAAGCTACTTTCCATTTGCACAAGTGGCACTCGAACGTGAAAGAGCTGGAACTGGATGACGTACCCGAAGACAATGCGAAAGAACTGGAGCCGGTTACAGTGAATGAGCACGAAGACGACTTAAGCTACGTGAAGCAACAGCTGGGCGTTCAATCTAGACAGTGTGGACTCCTGGGATTGAAGTGGAACAAGTTATCTGACGAAATTGGGGTCCCTTTTCCCGCGAACGTTGTTCAACCGATGAAAACAGGGATCCTGGGAAAGGTGGCTAAGATCTATGACCCCTTAGGATTAGCCGCACCTACCACTCTACAAGGAAAGCTGCTATATCGTGAGGCTTGTGAAGAGAAATGCGCATGGGACGCGCCGCTATCTGCAGAGCTAGTTCAGCAGTGGAAGAAGTGGGAGAGTTGTTTACCTCAGCAAATTAACTGCCCAAGAGCACTGACGAGTGCTCAACAGCCTATCGAGAACATCGAGCTTCATGCCTTTGGAGATGCTAGCGGAAAGGGCGTCGCGGCTGCCGTGTACGCCGTCGTCAAACAGCCGACTTCAGTAAACCAGGGCCTCGTCACAGCAAAGGCAAGACTGGGGAAGCAAGGGTTGACAATACCTCGCCGCGAAGTAGTCTCAGGTCACATGGCCGTGAATCTTCTAAGCAACGTACAAGATGCGCTACAAGGGTTTCCTTTATCCTCCCTACACTGTTGGCTCGATAGCAGCGTCGCACTACACTGGATACGCGGGAATGGAGACTTCAAGCAATTCGTGGCAAATCGTGTCCGAAAGATTAGAGAGCATGGTGACATTACGTGGAGACACGTACCAACTAAGGATAATCCTGCCGACCTTGCTAGCCGCGGTGGACCGGTCACAGAAGAGAAACAACTGTGGTGGAAGGGACCAGCATGGCTCAGTGATCCTAGAGCATGGCCCCCAGACCTTGTTACCGTACCCACCGCAGAATCCAACGCAGAAGCCAAAGTGATAAAGGAAGTCTTAGCCACAGCCCTATCATCAGAAGACGAGTTCAGTGTGCTGATGGAGCAACACAGTCTGTTAAAGGCCTTGCGCGTGTGCGCATGGGTGTCCAGGTTCCTAACTAATTCCAGAAACCCGAAGCCAAGAAGAGTAAAAGGACCGCTGACCACCGATGAAATGAAGTACCAGGAAACCTGGTGGACCAGACGAGCTCAAGAGGAAGGCAGAAGTTCGAAGAATTTCGAGGCAGACAAGCTACAGCTTAACTTGCAACCAGACAACAACGGAATACTGGAGTGTAGAGGACGAATCGTCGGTGCATACCCTATCTACCTTCCTGATGGTAACGCATTCACACACAAGCTTGTTCAACGAGCGCATCTAGCGACCCTTCACGGGGGAGTTACACTCACAATGACCAAAGTTCGGGAGACTCACTGGATCCCTCGCCTGAGAAAACTTACCAAGAAGGTCATTAAAAGTTGTTGGGGCTGCAAGAGATTTCGAGCTCAAGCCTACCAGTCCCCACCGCCAGGCAATCTACCAACGACCAGAACCCAAGGAGTGACACCCTACGAAACCATCGGTGTTGACTTTGCTGGGCCCATAAAGTATCAAGTGACAAAGAAGATGGAAGAAAAAGCCTACCTAGCCTTGTACGCCTGCGGTCTTACCAGAGGGGTGTACCTCGATCTACTTCCGAGCTTAGAAACAAGCAAGTTCCTCGCAAGTCTGAAAGGGTTTATAGCCAGGCGTGGACGCCCTCGCGTAATCTACTCAGATAACGGAAGCACGTTTAAAGCAGCAGCGGATTGGCTGAGGAAAGCCATGAAAGATGAGAAGTTTCACACCTGCCTTTCAAAGCTGGACATAGCCTGGAGATTCAACCTTAGCCGAGCTCCCTGGTGGGGTGGCCAGTTTGAGAGGCTGATAGGCGTGTTCAAGTCTGCCTTCCGGAAAGCAGTGGGGAACGGAACCTTATCCTGGGGCGAATTATCGGACGTTGTGCTTGACGTTGAAATTGCCATGAATGGACGTCCCCTGAGTTATTTGGAAGAGGACGTCGAATTGCCAGTACTCACTCCAAGCTCCATGCTGCACCTTCGGCTGAGCCAACTCCCAGAGCTAAATGCCTACCACATCGAGGAACCAGATCTAAGGAAAAGAGCCAAGTATCTCTATCGGTGCAAAGAAGCGATGTGGTCCAGGTGGACAAGAGAATACGTGAGAAGCCTACGTGAGCGGCACAGCAGGAGCGGAGGGAAACAGACCTCCCACCCCTCAGTGGGGGAAGTGGTGATAATTCAGGACGAGTCTCGGAACCGTAACTCATGGAAGCTAGGGATCGTGGAAAGGCTGATCGTGGGACGTGACGGAATCGTACGTGGAGCTAAGTTACAAGCTGGGAAAGGAGTCTTGGAACGAGCAGTGCAGCAGCTGTACCCTCTCGAGCTGTCCTGCGACAGAACAGATGCAAGGTTGAATCCTGAGGCCGAACCCTATCGGCCAAGGCGGGATGCGGCAGTCGCAGCAAGACTCCATATTGCGGATGCTGCTCAGGAAGCAGAGCCGTGAGAACTGTGAAACCAGAACTTCCTCAGGACGAGCAATCAAAAGAAAAAAAAACTTTCAGAACATTAAGGATGTGTCCATTAACCTTTTTGTTATGATTTCAAGTGATTAAGCCTAGTAACATTCAAAGAACGCCGAACTGTGATTCAACGTGAACACTGTGGACAACGGAATCATTGAACTATGTGATTTGTTCTTTAAGACTTTTCTTCGTTTTCAAATTGTTTAGCGTACTTAGGTTGAAGCAGTTTCCTTTGCTTACATGTACTTCCTTGTCGAAAGCACATGGGGGAGTGTGTCGGAAACTCGATAATAGCATAGGGTTTTTAATG